CTCAACCAAAATGGGTATGCCTCGGCTGTCTCGACTTCCTTCACGTAAACACATATATACTCATATATGTCAAAGGAAGAAAACTAATTTGTTCTGTTTTTGTAATAGGTTTTATACTTTTTCCAAAACTGTACACGCGAGAAATGCGACACAATTATAGCATCTGAAATTATAGTTCCAAGTTTTTTTTTTCATTTTTTTAGTGTGATCTACTGATCCCATGTCCTATTCCCCGGTTCACACACGTACTCAATTTTGGTAATTAATCTAACATTCTAAGAAAGGTTAGGAAAAAAACGTCTAATATCTTGACCAAGTTTAACTTTGTCATCATCGAATTTTGTGAAAAGCTACAGATCTTGTCACGCTCACTAGTTTTTTGCTGCCTTAAAAAATCTAAGTGTTAATGACGGGAAAATTTCTCTGGAAATTAAGTTAGGAATCTTAAATAAAATTAGAGCATGAAGTATAGCTGTCAATCATCTTCCAGCTTAAACAGCCTAAGATTTTTTGCTGCCGAGATCATTTTTTTGCAATCAATCTCCCCCTCTCCGAACTATCTGCTAGTAATAGTCAGTACTGTTTCAGATTTTTCAGATTAAGCCCAGTAATTTATTTATTTTTGATAGTGTTCCAAGATAAAAGCTGCGAAACAAGACAAAACAGTAAGTGAAAAAGCCCTACAGATCGGATTTTCGATAGGGTCCTCAAATAAAATTAAAGCATGAAATATACCTGTCAGTCACCCTCCAGCCTAAGCAGCCAATGAAGTGGTGTTGCCGAGGTTATTTCTGCAGGCAACCCCTCACCAGATTGATCTGCTAGTATTAATCAGTACTTTTGGGTTAAATCCATTAATTGTTTTTTTTCCAGTACTGTTCCAGGATCAAAGCAGTGAAACAAGAAAAAATAGTACTGTTGCAGTACTGGTGCAGTACTGGTACGGTGTTCTGTTATTTTTGAATGCTGATTTTGTTCTGGAACAGTACTGAAAAACTCCTTTTTTATATTCGAACTGATTTTCAAGTTTTTTATGTGTCTTTACAATCGAAAAACCATTAAAAGGCTTTAAAGTTTAACGAATATGCTTCAAACCAGTTGAAGACGCGGTTTTTTTAGGCAAAGAGTTAGAAATGGGTTCGCGCTGCGGTTCAAAGGGCATCAGCAATTCAACTTGTTTGGAACTGCCTACTGTATCTACATCGCAGTCCCTTACTGATTGATCAGTTTCGAATTTCTAAATTTAAAAAAAAAGTTCTGGATTTTTCAAATTTTACTTTGAATTTTTGGTTGTCTCAAACTATTTCAAACTATTTGAAAAAACGGCAAAAATAGCTGTAAAAAATACAAAAAAATAAGGAAAGAAAACATAAAAACCTTTAAAATTAAACTAAAATATTTTTATGCCTCGGGATTTAACTCGCATCCTTTAATTTAGGTCGATCTTGATTCCATGCACTAGCGACCTTCCGCGATGTTGTATAATAATACTGAAAAAAAGTTATAGAAACGGGTTCTTATAAGTATCTGTTCTGAAATGATACCCGGGTCGAGGTGATCGATTCATGTTCGACCGTCTTGGCCAAAATTTGATATGATTCGACTTTCTCGACTAAATTTTAAAATGTTTTGATTTTCTCGACACAGCAAAAAAAAGTGTTCGATTTTGTTCGGCCCAGTTCAGATATGCTTCGATTAATCGAACGAATTTCGATATGTTTCGGCTTTCTCGACCGACGTTTTTTAAAATTTGATTCATGGACGCCGCATAGATTTGTTTCAATTTTTCGATCAAAAATCTATATGTTTCGACTTTCTCGATTTTTTCGACCTACGTTTTTTAAATATTAATTGTTCGACCGCGCATAGATATGTTTCAACTTTCTCGAACAAAAATGGGTATGCTTCGACTGTCTCGACTTTTTTGACGTATGCACATATATTTTCATAAATGTCAAGAAAGAAAATTATTTTGATCTTTTTTCCTAAAGTTTTATAATTTTTTCCAAAATTGTAGACGTGAAGAGTGTGACACAATTTATAGCCTCTGCAATCATCATTTCAATGTATTTGATTTCTTTTCTTATTCTTTTTCTTATTGCTTTGATCAATTGATCCCAAGGCCTATTCGCTGGTACGCAAGTAGTTCATTTTGGTAGGTTTATTTTAATAATTTACGAAAAGATTGGAAAAAATAGTCGTCTAGTATCTTCATCAAATGTCTGAGTGAAACTTTATGGAAAGCTTCAGATCTTGTCACACCCGCTGCTTAGGAACCTTAAAAAAAGAAGTATACCTTTTAGTCCTCCTCCAGCCTAAGCAGCCCAAGAATTTGTGCTGCGGAAAGCATTTTTGAAATCTTTATTCCCCCTTCCCGGAATGATCTGCAAATAATAATCAGTGCTGCTTCAAATTGAATCCAGTAGTATGTTTTTTTTTCAGTACTCTTCCAGGGATAAAAGCAATGAAACAAGAAAAACGGCACTGTTGCAGTACTGGAGCAGTATTGTTTTGGTATTGCTACAGTACTGTTATTTTTTTACTGATGTTGTCGTGGAAAAATAATGGAATTTCTTTATTAAATTCCCGATTGATTTTCAAGTTTTGTTCCGTGTCGTTAGAATCCAAAAAATCATTGAAAAACATTAAATTTATTGACTATGCTACAAACCAGGTGAAAATGCGGTTTTTTTAGCAAAAAAGTAGAAACGGGTTAGCGATGCAGTGTTAGCATTAGGGTGATAGGGCTTGATCAACAGAAATTAACTGGAACTGGTGATTTTGGGTAGGTTATTTTTAGTAAAAAACGGCAATTTTTGTGTCAAAATTTTTATTCATCCCCACTGCAAAAAACAGCTTAAACGCCATAATTACGCAGTGTTTGTGCGAATAAAATAAAGATGTGTAATTTCTGTTACAACTGTTTGTTTTGAAAAAAATTGATGCACTCCTCATCTTCTTGTTAATTTCTTCATTTTCTGCTAGTGCAATTTATGTTCATTTATTTGTAATGTTTGACTTGCAATTTTTCATGTTTATAATCAATTAATTTTTTATTTTACGTTTTAAATTAAAATTTCTCGGATACATTATCCGCATTTATAAAAAGTGAAAAAAAAAACTATAATTATTGACTTTTGTGGTCTAAATTTTTTTCAATATAGTCGATTGCCATGTTACGCTCGGACAACAAACTTGGATTAAAAATAGATCTAAATCCATTTTCCCTGAAAAAATAAGCATTTTTATTCATTTGAAATTCAATATGGTGGATTATTTTGAAAATAAAAAATCACAAAAAAATAGATTTTTGTTCCGAATTTGGAAGAAATTTCGGAATATTTATGCTTGGTGTGGTTGTTTCTACAGTCAATTTTCGACTTCTTGAGTAAGCGTTTTTGATGAAAATTTGTATATCATCTGAGAGATTTTGTTATCCTAAGCTCAAATTTAAAAAGATTTTTTTTGCAAAATTACGGGCGTTTGAAAGTTGCTAATTTGACTTATTTGGGGTAATGAAAGTGGAATATATTGCTTTCTTATAACGCGCGTAAGAAGCAAACTGATGCGTTCCAATTTGAATTGAGGCTAGCAATTTATTCATATTATCACAATATGAGACGCTAGTTACATCCTTAGTATTTTACATTTCGTGTGAGGGGGATAAAAAGAAGTAATAATGGAAAACGAGTTCTTCTTTTTTTCTCAAGTATTTTGTCAATTATTCAACCAAAAAACTTTCAATTGGGAGTCGGAACATTGGAGTCGGAACAAGTGGAGTCGGAACATTCATGGCTTTGCCTTGATTTACGAGTAATTTTGTATTTTTAATTTATTTTTGTTTCGCGTCACAATTTCATCATTTATCAAACGAGTAATACAGAAATTTTGCAAAGCGAGTGTACGGCCAACTCTATTTTCTAAACCATTTCTAAATTTCTCAAATTTCCAAACAGTTCTGTCAACCTCTCTACCCCATTCCAACGTTTGCCCCTTTTGCAAATAAAAATCCTGAAATCTTCACTGATTTGTTGATCACCAGTTTAATTCGTTTCAAAAACAGTCCTGATTTAGCATGAATCAGTACTCAAACAAAACTGCATTTTTAGTCCTGATTTTATCACTGATCAGTGCTATCATGTTACAGTACAGTTTTTATACCGCAGCATTACTGAAACAGTACTGATTTTTACTGGAAGACACATCCTGGAAACAATTCACCCAGAAATATTACAAGTGGCCTGTTGCTCGTTTCAAAATTTGTTGAATCAATGAATCAGTGGGCTGTTATGCTCAGAGGGTTCTTGCCGCCCTCAACGCCTCGTTGACTGTGCCATGAAAATATTCGGTTCAAAAGGTAAATTTAACATACTATCCAACTGAAACTCGATCAATGCGATAAGAGCACTGAGATTTGGAGGCCATGCATAGCGTGGCAGACAGAGGTGGCAGGTAACTAATAGTTGGCATCAATATCAAAGTTGTTGGACACATAATTTTGCAGATAGGGTGATCGGAATTCATTCGGGAGCTAAATGAGTACTACGCTATATCACAAACGACTGATGATTTAGATCTGTATATTTCTCAACGCATCTTTATATAGGAATTGTTTTGATTGCAATTCGAATTGCAACTTTATGAACATTTTTTTCCGAACTCTTCTTGGTATACTCGTGGCTTTTACTGGCATTGAAAAACGCAGCTCCATGCCTTCGATGTTCGGGATTTTTTGGAAACAATCTATGTCACTCAAAGAAACAAATAAGTTTCTAAGTAAATAATCAGTTTTCAATACATGAACCTTGGTCCAAACTCGAATTTTCGATACATGCAGTAAGCATCAAAACATGTAGTATCTCTCAATTGATACAAAATGAGGACAACGCTTCAAAAACTTGACAGAAAGTAGTTTCAATGCTAGATGGTGAGGCCTTTTTTGAAGTATTCGAAGGCTTTTGAGAATTCCGGGTCTCAAAACTAGCTTGGCATAAATGCTATTTGACGCGCTTGAAGTATAATTTCTGAGAGTTGTTCACAATTTAACACAACTGAATTCTTTTACTTGAGTTTACCATAACATCAGTCCAATTTTTTCCACAAATTTGAGCAGTTTGAGATTTGGATAGTTGTAATTTGGTTTAAAAAGAAGTAGATTTGAGTAGATGCCATTTGGCCACTGGAATTCTGGGATTATCCAGCATTTGCTGGAAGTGGTCCATCTCAGATCGGCTGCAACCGCTGGCTCCCAAATACAACACACCGAACACGTAGTAGCTCGGAGTACTCGATTCCGTGTATTCATGAGCAGAAGATGACTCTTCTCCGAGAGACAGGGGAAAATTTTCTTCGTTTTCAATTCCAGCAACGCGAGGTTGCGTCAATGGGTGCGACTGCCGACTGCTATCAGTCTTCAGAAGTCGCTGCACGACGGAGAGTTTCAGTCGACATCGTTTTAAATCAGAGGGGGATATCTGGAATCCAAGCATGTCATTGAACACTGGATTCAGAGTAGAGTGGGAGTGGCTGAGTTTGGTGGAGGTCTTCTTCTTCTTCAGTCTCCGGTTGTCTCGTCTGAACAGCTCCACTTTCACATAAACACCTAGAAAAAAAACAATTTCCTTTAGAGAAATTAACTAGTTGTTGAAGATTATATTATTTACTCACTGCGCCCTCAAAAACAGACAAAAAAAGCAAAAAATCGTTTTTCAAACAATTTAAATCTATATATTTTCGATTTTCTTTTATTTTTTTTAGCAAATCTGTTTCTGATTGAAACGTTATTTAAATCTGCAATTCTTTGAAATGAACCGTTTCTAAAAACTTTTATGATTTAAGAAAACAATTTCGATGCTTAAATTAGCACAGAGCTTGTTCCTAACACAAACAATTATAAAACTATGCCAAAACAACAACTTTGAGCTGCTGATTTTCTGAAACTTATTTAATTGAGAATCGGGAGATGAATATTAGCAGACTCAGTAGCGGATTTAGAGTGGGGCTTTACCTCCCCTTCCCTCAGGGATTTGACCCCCTGCCGATCCAAAGGGTCCCCCTTTGAACAATCTTGAGTGATTCCATTTTTGGCTGACGGACCCTAAAAATTTTCTAACGACGCTTTTGGCGCCAAAATCTACGAAGTTTGGTCAAAATTTTCCAAAAAATGTTTAAAAACGCTTTTGGGACGGTTTTTTTAAATTTGACTGCTGGTTGCCGAAATTTTGGCCAAATACCTACTAAATTTGAGGGGGGAGCACGCGCCAAAAAAACTCAATTTTTTGGTCAAAATTTTCCAAAAAGCGCCTGTTTTTTAAAAATTTGATTGCTGGACGCAGAAAGTTTGGCCAAAACAGAACCTTTTTGGTGCTTTGGGAAAGTTTAGAAAATGCATATGGTCGACCGATATAAAAATCCACCTCTTAAGAAAATCCTAGATCTGAGCAAACTATTAAATGCATAGTGCGTGGAAAAATATTAATTGTAATTTTTATAAGCACCAGAAGCGTGCCGACGGGGGGGACTGCTTTTCCCTCAATTCTTGTTGCCAAAAATTTCCGAAGGGTGGCCCTTTTGATTCAACTTTATGACATCATTTTTTCGCTGAACAACCTCAAAAATTTGGGCCTGTTTTTTTGTTCAGTTCAGTAAAAGGAGGAAAAAGTTATTCTCTCATCAAAGCAAATAACTTCAACCTAATTTTCTTTTTCTTTTTTGCGCCCACTCGATTGGGCTGAACAAGGAGAGAAACACTTTGGCTTACAACAAAATTCGCCAATATTCTCAAAGCATCAATTTATTACAGATTTGCGAAAATAGATTTACGATATTTATTGCAGAAACACTACAACGCATCTCTGAATATGATAACGGGTAAAGCAAACCAAGTATTGTTTCAGCAATAGATGTCATCTCTCTTTGTATCCACTTTGTATACTATTTTGAGAGTTTAAGCACTCATTGTTTTGAGGTTGTTCAGCGAAAAAAGGATGTCATAAATTTATATCAAAAGGGCGACCCTTTGGAAAAATTTGGCAACAAGAATTGAGGGGAAGAGCAGTCGCCTCCCCCCCTCGGCACGCTACTGGTGGTTATAAAAATGAGGGAGCACGCGCCAAAAAACTCAATTTTTTGGTCAAAATTTTCCAAAAAGTGCCTGTTTTTTTTAAAAAAAATTCGAAAGTTTGACTGCTGGACGCAAAAATTTTGGCCAAAAAATAGCCTTTTTGGTGCTTTGGGAAAGCTTAAAAAATCCATATGGTCGACCGATATAACAATCCACCTCTCAAGAACATCCTAGATCTGATCAGACTATTAAATTCATATTGCGTGGAAAGTTATTAATTGTAATTTTTATAAGCACCAGTAGCGTACCGACGGGGGGGGGGGGGGGGGGTGGGCGACTGTTCTTCTCTTCAATTCTTGTTGCCAATTTTTTCCAAAGTGTCGTCCTTTTGACATAACTTTATGAAATCCTTTTTTCGCTGAACAATCTCCAAAATTTGGGCCTGTTTTTTTTTTCAGTTCAGTAAAACGAGGAAAACGTTATTCTCTCATCAAAAATTCTCTTTTCTTTTTGCGCCCACTCGATTGGGCTGAACAAGGAGAGAAACACATTGACTTACAACAAAACTTCGCCAATATTCTCAAAACATCAATTTATTACAGATTTGCGATAACAGATTTAGGATATTTATTGCAGAAATACTACAACGCATCTCTGACTATGATAACGGGTAAAGCAAACCAAGTATTGTTTTAGCAATAGATGTCATCTCTCTTTGTATCCACTTTGTATACTACTTTGAGAGTTTAAGCACTATATTGTTTTGCGGCTGTTCAGCGAAAAAAGGATGTCATAAATTAATATCAAAAAGGCGACCCTTTGGAAAAATTTGGTAACAAGAATTGAGGGGAAGGCAGTCGCCCCCCCCTCGGCACGCTACTGGTGTTTATAAAAATGGGGGAGCACGCGCCAAAAAACTCAATTTTTTGGTCAAAATTTTCCAAAAAGTGTCTCTTTTTTCAAAATTAAAAAATTTGACTGCTGGACGCAGAAATTTTGACCAAAACAGAGCCTTTTTGGTGCTTTGGGAAAGCTTAAAAAATCCATATGGTCGACCGATATAATAATCCACCTCTCAAGAAAATCATAGATCTGAGCAGACTACTAAATGCATATTGCGTGGAAAATTATTAATTGTAATTTTTATAAGCACCAGTAGCATGCCGATGGGGGGGGCGACTGCAAAATTTGGAAAAACCGAGATACATTTTGAGAAAATAATTTTGAGAAAAATTAACTTAAAAATAAAAACAAAATTGAGAAAAATATTTTTTCTTTCGAAAATGTATTCTTAATTCATAGTGAATGGGAAACTCTGTGCTACTTGCACAGCAACTGGCTTTTCTTGTTTCTCTAAAACTGTTGATATCAAGGCAAAGTCTTGAATATTCTCATTAGTTTTGTAGGTATCGAAAGTAGTTTTTAGTATAATTAAACTTCGACAAAAGCTGTCAATTAAAAAAAAAACTGCTAAAAAATCAGGCGAAACAAAAACGGTTTAATTGGTTGCTTTTAGAGTGAACTATGAACAAAAATGAGCTTTTTTATCTCGAGACAAAAGTTTATTTTTCATAACGAAAACCACAAATGTGGTATTGTAAGTACCCGCAATAAGGTTTCATGAATAATAATCAACTATGATGGATTTTCATAGTTTGTATCCATAAAATTCTAAGATAATTAATTATAATTGATTATTATAATAGATTATAAAACAAATAAACTAGAAATCATTTTAATCCATTGTACTCGGTTATAATGGATTATAATAGATTTTTATGAGTAAGAGCCTGGATTTTTCAAAACTTTGAAATCGAATATTCAAAAGTTGAACGTAGCAATTGCTAAATTGTGTTTTACATTAGGCTACAGCAAACAATTTTTTTTGCTTATTTGGCATAATTGATTTGTTACTAGGAGCTAAATTCATCACTTTGTTGTTGATTCGTCTGGGGGATGTTTTTCACAAAAAACCTCAAATTAAAAAAAAAATCATTTCGATTTCATTGCATTTAATGTTTTCATGTTATTACTGCTCCATGGACCTTAAAAGGCAGTCGGAACAATCGGGAATTCACCCTGATACGAGAAATCTTGTTTCTATTTGTCGTCCCTTCCCCCTAACTACTTTACACTACTTCCCACCATATTTACTTTGTCATCACTTACCCCTTACTTGCACTTACCTTAAAATGAAACCGTAACAAAATTTTTTAAAGCTCTACCAAAGCGCTGAAAAAACACTAATATATTTTTTTCAAAATTGTTGGCTGCCTCAGATGAGTTTTTGTTAAATTATAACCAAAACAGAACTATTTTTGATGGGCGCTTCCCTTACACAAACTAAGTATATATTGCGCCAGGGCGTCTTCAGAAAACATTTTGGATTGGTCAACTAAAATTTGATGTCGTAAAATATACCCAAGGCTTAAATATCGATGGCAGCTCAAGAGAATGGGGTTCGAACCCCGTCATACTTTTTGTCTCTAAATTTTTATGTATTTATTTGTTTATTTTGTATATACATTTTTGTAATAATAATTAATATTAATATGACTACCATTAAAATCTACTCTTAAATTAAATTTTGTTTGAATCTCTTGTTGCAGAGGGTAGACCTAGAACAGATCAGAGGATCTCGTTATCTACTCTTTTCAACTCGCTACCTATTACTGCAATTTGATTTTTTAAAAGTTTATGCCAACTTGTTTAGATGAAATTATGCTTCTTCTTCTTCTTCTTCTTTAGAAAAAACTGTGCCTGAAATATTTTTGTGATGCCAACATGAGCCGTGATGTCCCATTCTACTTACTTTGGGGCGCACTTTGTTGGTTGTTGTGGGGATGAGAATTGTTGTTGGAGGATTGTGGCAGTTTGAGATCCTTGGCCTTCATCACAATCACAGATAGTCTCTCTGCTAGAGGCAGGTAGTTGATCGAAATCAACAGAGAACTTTCACTCACCTGAAACAGCGCAATGCTCAAGCCCGAGCACTGATCCTCCGATAAAACAACGGACCCAAAAAATAACTCCCTTATTAAAATATATGCATTAGTGCTTCTGACCAAACAACTGATTTGATAGGACGAAATTGTTTGTTTAACCGTCAAACTGATTTACTAGAGGCCAAACTTTGAGTAAAATTGATTTCGAAGTTGATTTGTTAAGGGGATTCGAAAACTATTCAAGCCATTTTAATATACCTCAGATTGCGCATATAATTGGATGATCCTCGTCATGAATAGATCATTGCATCCGCCCTCAGTTTCATCCGTGTGATTCGAAACTCCCCCCTCCCCTTTCCATTCATCGGCATCACCGCCCGATCTCCATTGAACTGAAGTCTCTCCCTTCCCTAGAAGTGTGTCCCCCGTAGTGTTGCGGCCTCCAGCCGAGTACTCGTACTGTTCGCAGCTTATGGACACTTTACTTCCACACGACACACATGGGGACATCCCTTTCAGGGGTAGACGGAAAATGTCTCCGAGAAGAACTTCTTTCCGATCCTAAGGCATTTCAAAATGGTCTTATTCCATTTCTCTCCTCTCATTTCGTTGTGATTTTTTGAGAAAACAACCAACCGACTTGTTTAAAAGGCAAAACATGTCTTATTCCTTGTGATTTTTCGTGAAATAATAAATCAATCAATATGTAGAAGCAGGGGCGAATCTAGGATTTTCTCGAGGGGGGTGGGGGCAGATTTTCAAAAGAACTTTGAACCTTTTGTCGACCTCTTTTTTTTAGATCGACCAAAGTGATTTTCCTAGCTCTCCCGAAGCACTAAAAAGACCCTGTTTCGGCCAAAATTTCTGGGCCGCAGGAAAAATTTTGAAAAGAAAACAGGCCAAAAATAGCGTTTTTAAGCACTTTTTGGGAAATGTTAAGCGAAAATTGCGTTTTTTTTTCGGCGCGCGTTCTCCCATGAGAATTAATACTTATTGGCGCCAAAGGCGCCTTAAGAAAAATTTTAGGTTGCGTCTGGCAAAATTGGATATCTCAAAATAGTAAAAAGGGGGACTCTTTGGGTCGGCAGGGGGTCAGATACCTGAGTGAGGGAAAAGGGAGCGTCCGCACAACGCCCCCACCCTAAATCCACCCCTATGTAGAAGAATCATTGTTCTACTTATGCGCATTAAATCTCCAACGTTTCAAACATGGAGCGATAAATTTTTTCTAAAGAAAAAATGGATGCGGGAAGAAACTAATGATAGAAGTAACTATTAATAGAAGAAACAAATGCGATAATAACTTTGTGCTAAAAGAAGCAATACTAGTAGAAAGAATTAATACCAGAAGCAACTGATGTTAGAAAAAACTGATGATAGAAGATACTGAAAATGGAAGTAGCTAATAGTAGAAGAAACTGACGCAGCAGAAGGATACTGTTGCTAGACGAAGCTGAAGCTAGAAGAAGCTGCTACAAGTAAGAAAAACTGAACACAGAAAAAACTGATGCTAGAAGAAACTGATAATAGAAAAAAGAAATGCTAGAAGAATTTACGGCCAGAAAAAAACTTATGCTAGAGGGAACTGATGCTAGAAGAAATTGATGATAGAAGAAGCTTTTGTTCGAGGAAACTGATGCTAGAGGGAACTGATGCTAAAAAAAAGATGATAGAAGATACTGAAGATGGAAGTAACTAATAGTAGAAGAAACTGACGCAGTAGAAAGATCCTGTTGCTAGACAAAGCTGAAGATAGAAGAAGCTGCTACAAGTAAGGAAAACTGAACACAGAAAAAACTGATGCTAGAAGAAACTAAAAATAGAAAAAAAAGAAATGCTAGAAGAGTTTACGGCCAGAAAAGTTTATGCTAGAGGAACTGATGCTAGAAGAAAATGATGATAGAAGAAGCTCTTGCTCGAGGAATATGATGCTAGAGGGAACTGTTGCTAGAAGAAAAAGATGACAAAAGATACTGAAGATGGAAATAATTAATAGTAGAAGAAACTGACGCAAAGAAAGGTACTGTTGCTAGACAAAGCTGAAGCTATAAAAAGCTGCTACAAGTGAAAAAACTGAACACAGAAAAAACTCATACTGGAAGAAACTGAAAACAGTGTCTACTGCCAGAAAGAATTTATGCTAAAAGGAATTGATGCTAGAAAAAAAATCGATAAGAGAAGAAACTCTTGCTCGAAAAAACTGATGCTAGGGAGTAGTATGCATATAGTGCGTTAGGATCTGGGGGGGGGGGGTTGTCATACATGGATGACCATTAGGTATAAATCATAATGGTCACCATGTATTAAATGATCAGCAATGGTCACCATGTAATAATCCTAATTGTCACCATGTATAATTTTATACCTAATAGTCCTCATGTAAAACTTCGGTATATTATTGAGTATTCCCACTGAACGTTGTGGTTACATGTTTGGAGCGGGAAAGGATTTGCCAAATCTTCGTTCTGAAACCAGCTGGAGTGTTTAACTGCGCTATAGACTGTTTGCTCAATTCTTCTTACAACTTTGATTCAAACTTAAATTACATACAAATACATACAAAAGTATGCTAAAGACACTATCGCTTAAATGAAATTGTTTATATCCCAGATTAATTGAGTTCCAAAGCTGAACAAAATCTCGCACTTAAATACACACTAAACACGGAATAGCGGTAGGTCAAATTTTATGTACAGACAATTCTCATATTAAATAACTGAATTTTATTTACTATACAAAAGTTAATGTGGTGTTTTTTGTGTTTTAATCTATTCGTCGATTTTTTGACCGTGGTTCTTCTACTTCAACTGCTTCATAATCGAAAAACGAATCGTTGAAGAATGACGACTCGTCCTCATCGGAAGTATTGGCCTCCAGATCCGCGATATCCCCGCTATCAATATCACTGTCGTTGGTTTCTGCTGCCCGAATCAGACCGGGGTCTGGAGTTTGCCAACTGCTATTGACCTGGTCCATCAGTTGTCGAAGCGAGCGATGTGGTTGTGTGTTCTCAACAGCAAAACTATCCTCAGAGTATTCATCATCAATTTCCGGATGGTCCCAATCAACGTTTTGAGTGTTAGCGAATTCTTCAGACACCCCATCTAGGAAATCGTCACAATCCCACGACACTGGCTGTTGACGATCTTCAAAAAATGGCATCCATTTTTCCAAATCGTCATCATCGGTTGGGTCAGAATTAACAGCGGCTGTGTTGTCATCACTATCATCAATGCCAATCACAGTTTGACCCACGATGTTTTTGTGACCGTAGGGAAGAGTCTGCTGGCCATCATCGAGGATGTAGCGTTTGTCATCAAAGGCTGATAACGATGTTTTCGTCGAAGTCACTGTTTGCAGATTGTGTGACTCGGATGCGATTCGACTGTTTTCAGTTTTGAATAACGAGCCAGAGGTCAAGGTGTCTCGATATCGCTGATGGCTCAACATCTTCTGAGCAGCTTTCGATACACCCTTCGCCGATAATTTTCTGCAGTCTATAAATATAATTATATGATTACTAATCAATTTTTTGATGATCACTAATGTGTGGTGGTAAAAAAAGAACCAAATGCAATCTGTGGTTTTGTGTTTTTTAGGAGCTACATCATGTTAACTTGAAGGCCAGGTGCAACAAAAAAAATGACATGAAGGCCAGGTGTGACCTTAAAAATTAGTCATCATTAAAAAAATCGACCAACACAAAAAAAAAAAAAATCCCCGACAAAAAAATTTAAAAAATTTTTTGCAAAAAAAAAAAAACACTTTTTCGCCCCAAAAATTTTTCGAACAAAAAAAAAAAAATTTTCGCCCACAAAAAAAAAATCGCCCACAAAAAAAAAAAAAAAATTTCGCCCACAAAAAAAAAAATCGCCCACAAAAAAAAATTTTTTCGCCCTCAAAAAAAAAAAGTTTTCGCCCATAAAAAAAAAATCGCCCACAAAAAAAAGTTTTCGCCCACAAAAAAAAAGAATTTTTCGCCCACAAATAAAAATTGCTTTCCAAAAAAAAAATTCCACAAAAAATCAAAATTTTTTGAAATTCGTGCTCACAAATAAGGCAAATAGAAATTAATTAATTACCTCTGGACAAAATGGAATAAAGCTTGGGTTTGAGGGATATAAACTCGGTTATAATGTCTCCTGGAAACTCATCCTTGAATTTTAAAACAACCATTTTGTTTTTCGGGTCGTAGAGAGGGTGGTTCTTCGGGTAATTTGACAAGTCAAGTTCATTCAAATTATTCCTTTTTTCGGAAATTTCTCGGTATAAATCTTCACTTTTGACTTGGTACAGGAGACTGTCTGTATCAGAATACAATAGTTGACATTCAAAATTTGGTTTCATTATATCGTAATGAAATTTATACATGTGAAACTTTGCTAACTCAAGAACACTAGCTCCCACAATTGTTGGGACATCCCAATAGATTTTTGTTGGGTTCGAAGTGAACGCTGCCAAGTTTTCTCCAAAAATTTTGTAGGATTTAAATTCGAATGCACTAATTTCTCGCAAAGCGGCATGATAATCTCTAACTATTCGAACAAGCATCCGTTTGCGCTTCGACTCGCATGTTTTCCCATAAGCACAATTGTTCAGTAGTTTGTACAAATCCTCCTCAAATTTATTTCTAGCTTGTTGTCGTTTAGTCGTGTTCAATGTGATGTATGGTTCTAACCATGCTTCTTGTTCAAACTTCAGCACACGGTGCACTTTTTTAACTTTAAGTCCCAACCTAACAAACAATTGCAATAGTTTGTAATGAATTGTATAGTTTGACTTGTCATGCAGCGTCTGCAGTAAATTTTTGGTCTTTCCAATTGAACGTCTTGCAATGTCTTGATTTTTCATCTGCTCGAGTAAATTCGTTTGGTAGGGACTCAACCAATCCTGGGGTACACTTTCTTTAGTAGGAGCTAAAGGGTAATCTTGATGATCCTCATGCAGTTCTTCTGGGTACTCGAGATCAACTTCCAATATAAATCCAATCAAAGAGTCTTCAGTCATGTTGAGGATTTGGTTCACAATCACCTCGTCTTCTATATGCTCTATTAACTCAAAGTTACGCACCGGTAATTTCTCCGTTTGCATGACGCCGCCATAGAGGTTATTTGCATCGATCATAAACCCGTAGGTGCTAGGCTGATCTGGGTTGAAGTCGGGGCATTCTTTGTTGTTGGCTTTGAAAAAGCGACTATGGAACACGGATGCAGTACCACCTCGCATCATATTCTCGACCATTTCGAGATGCCTGCGGTCTGATAAAAGCTGAACATTCGAGTCTTTGCAGATACGTTTGAAGGCGTCTCCAGCTAAGTTTGAAGCACTAAAATGGTGCGCTCAGTCCAGACCATAAGTTTGGTGACTAATTTGTCGAAATTCTTCAAAGACGCAAGCAAGAAGGAGTGTATCACACTTGAGATACAAGTTGTGATAATCCTCCAAGTTTTGACATTTGAACATTCTAAAAACTTTCCTTGCATGCTCCAGATCCGCTTGTGAAACTGCAACTTTTCCTCCATTCAAAACATCGGACCAATTTTGCAAAGGAGGCAATTCTT